AAATTTAGAAGTGTTATAGAATTTTTGAAATGGTAATACTCTTAGTAGTACACAAGTTTGTTTTAACTTTCTTTTACCTTACATCTACATAATATATAAACTATTTAGCTTCTTATTAGAGTAAACACATATATAGAAAAGTACACCAATTGAATGTATCCGTGTAATCAGCACTTGGATCAAGAACACATTATTACTACAACTAGAAGACTGTCTCCAGATCTCTACCAGTCACGATCCATCCACTGAGGGGATATCTTAATTTCTAACATCAGAGATTAGTTTTGCCTATGTTTGTTTTTTATATAAATAGAATCATATAACACATGCCCTTTGTTTCTGGCTTCTTTTCCTGTCATTGTGTTTGTGAGATTAAACCTATTGCCTGTCATTGTGGTTTGTGCACTCCTTGCTGTGGAATGTTCCATTGGGTGAATATACCACCGTTTATTTAGCCATTATACAGTTGTATGTTAGATATAGCCTTTGGTATGCATGGAGTATTTCATCAAAAACAATTTTTAAAATAGTCTTTAATGGAAATCCTGAGAAGGAAGAATAAAGTGGGGGGGATCTCACTCCCCAACTTCAAGCTCTACTACAAAGCCACAGTAATCAAGACAGTTTGGTACTGGCACAAGAACAGAGCCACAGACCAATGGAACAGAATAGAGACTCCAGACATTAATCCAAACATATATGGCCAGTTAGTATTCAATAAAGGGGCCATGGACATACAATGGGGGAAATGACAGTCTCTTCAACAGATGGTGCTGGCAAAACTGGACAGCTACATGTAAGAGAATGAAACTGGATCACTGTCTAACCCCATACACAAAAGTAAATTCAAAATGGATCAATAGAACAAAAAGGTACCCTACAGTATGGGAGAATATATTCATAAATGACAGATCCGATAAAGGGTTGACATCCAAAATATATAAAGAGCTCACGTACCTCAACAAACAAAAAGCAAATAATCCAATTAAAAAATGGGCAGAGGAGCTGAACAGACAGTTCTCCAAAGAAGAAATTCAGTTGGCCAACAGACACATGAAAAGATGCTCCACATCGCTAGTCATCAGAGAAATGCAAATTAAAACCACAATGAGATATCACCTCACCCCAGTAAGGATCGCCACCATCCAAAAGACAAACAACAACAAATGTTGGCGAGGTTGTGGAGAAAAGGGAACCCTCCTACACTGCTGGTGGGAATGTAAATTAGTGTAACCATTGTGGAAAGCAGTATGGAGGTTCCTCAAAAAGCTCAAAATAGAAATACCATTCGACCCAGGAATTCCACTTCTAGGAATTTACCCTAAGAATGCAGTAGCCCAGTTCAAAAAAGACAGATGCACCCCTATGTTTATGGCAGCACTATTTACAATAGCTAAGAAATGGAAGCAACCTAAGTGTCCATCAGTAGATGAATGGATAAAGAAGATGTGGTACATATACACAATGGAATACTATTCAGCCATAAGAAGAAAACAAATCCTACCATTTGCAACAACATGGATGGAGCTAGAGGGTATTATGCTCAGTGAAATAAGCCAGGTGGAGAAAGATAAGTACCAAATGATTTCACTCATATGTGGAGTATAAGAACAAAGAAAAACTGAAGGAACAAAACAGCAGCAGAATCACAGAGCCTAAGAATGGACTAACAGTTACCAAAGGGAAAGGGACTGGGGATGATGGGTGGGAAGGGAGGGATAAGGGCGGCAAAAAAGAATGGGGGTCTTACGATTAGCATATATAATGTGGGGGGACATAGGGAGGGTTGTGCAACACAGAGAAGACAAGTAGTGAGTCTACAGCATCTTACTACGCTGATGGACAGTGACTGTAATGGGGTTTGTGGGAGGGACTTGGTGAAGGGGGGAGTCTAGTAAACATAATGTTCTTCCTGTAATTGTAGATTAATGATAACAAAAAGAAAAAAAATGTTTAGGCGACATGGTGCCTTGTAATTTGTTTGACAAATAAATACCATTCTTTTAAAAAAATAGTCTTTAATGTTCAACCTCACTAATCATCAGAGAAATGCAAATTAAAACCACAATGAGATATCACCTCACACCCATCAGAATGGCTAATATCAAAAGGAAAGGAGGAGAAATAAGTTAGTGAGGACGTGGAGAAAAGAGAACCCTCATACACTGTTGGAGGGAATGTAAATTGGTGCAGCCAACGTGGAAAGCAGTACAGAGGTTTTGTTTTGTTTTGTTTTATTTCAAAAAACTAAAAATAGAAATACTATAGACCCAGCAATTCCATTTCTGGGAATTTACCTGAAGAAAATAAAATCACTAATTTGAAAAAATATATGCACTTTATGTTTATTATAACATTATTTACAGTAGCCAAGATATGGAAGCACCCTAAGTGTCCATCATAGATGAATGAATAAAGAATACATATATGGGATGTTACTTAGCCTTAAAAAAGAATAAAATTTTTGTAAACAACATATCTGACAAGGGGTTAACATCCAAAATATATAAAGAACTCAAACGCCTCAACACCCAAAAAGCAAATAACCTGATTAAAAAATGGGCAGAGGATATGAACAGATAATTCTCCAAAGAAGAAATTCAGATGGCCAACAGGCACATGAAAAGATGCTGCACATCACTAATTATCAGGGAAATGCAAACAAAAACCACAATGAGATATCACCTTACACCAGTTAGGATGGCCAGGATCAAAAAGACTAAGAACAACAAATGCTGGCGAGGATGTGGAGAAAGGGGAACCCTCCTACACTGCTGGTGGGAATGTAAGCTAATTCAACCATTGTGGAAAGCAATATGGAGGTTCCTCAAAAAACTAAAAATAGCAATACCATTTGACCCGGGAATTCTACTCCTAGGAATTTACCCAAAGAATGTAATTGATCAGATTCAAAAAGACATATGCACCCCTATGTTTATTGCAGCACTATTTACAATAGCTAAGATATGGAAGTAACCTAAGTTTCCATCAGTAGATGAACGGATAAAGAAGATGTGGTACATATACACAATAGAATACTATTCAGCCATAAGAAAGAAACAAATTCTGCAATTTGCAACAACATGAATGGAGCTGGAGGATATTATGCTCTGTGAAATAAGCCAGGAGGAGAAAGACAAGTACCACATGATTTCACTCATATGTGGAGTATAACAATGAAGCAAAACTGAAGGAACAAAACAGCAGCAGACTCAAGAGAGATTCCAAGAATGAACTATTGGTTACCGAAGAGGAGGGTTGTGAGAGATGGGTGGGGAGGGAGGGAGGGAGAAGGGAATTGAGGGGTATTATGTTTAGTACACATGGTGTGGGGGATCACGGGGAGACCACTGTAGCACAGAGAAGGCACATAGTGGATCTGTGGCATCTTACTACACTGATGGACAATGACTGCATTGGGATATGGGTGTGGACTTGATAATATGGGTAAATGTAGTAACCACATTGTTTTTTCATGTGAAACCTTCATAAGAGTATATCAATCATATCTTAATAAAACATTTTTTTAGAAAGCAGTGAGTAAGGGAGGAGAGGGCATGAGCAGCACTTCATTTTAGGAAGCTTATGATGGTGGCAATGTGTAAGCTGAGTCGGAGCTACAGAAGCTAGAGGCCATCAGGATGGAGGAAGTCAGGAGTAACAAAGGTTCACGTTACAATTGTGAAAGCAGATATTGCTGTGTAATGGGATTGAACTAGAAAAATGACAGTCCACCTCGATAATATGGGTGAATGCAGTAACCACACTGTTTTTCATGTGAAACCTTCATAAAAGTGTATATCAATAAAACCTTAATAAAAATAATTTTTTAAAAAGGCATATGCACCCCTATGTTTATTGCAGCACTATTTACAATAGCTAAGATACGGAAGCAACCTAAGTGTCCAGCAGTAGATGAATGGATAAAGAAGATGTGGTACATATACACAATGGAATACTATTCAGCCATAAGAAAGAAACAAATCCTACCATTTGCAACAACATGGATGAAGCTAGAGGGTATTATGCTCAGTGAAATAAGCCAGGTGGAGAAAGACAAGTATCAAATGATTTCACTCATCTGTGGAGTATAAGAACAAAGCAAAAACTGAAGGAACAAAACAGCAGCAGNGTGGGAAGGGAGGGATAAGGGGATTCAGGGGTATTATGTTTAGTACACATGGTGTGGCGGGGATCATGGGGAAGACAGCATAGCACAGAGAAGGCAAATAGTGACTCTGTGGCATATTACTACCCTGATGGGCACAGACTGCAATGAGGTATGTGGGGGACACGATAACGGGTGAATGTAGTAACCACATTGTTTTTTCATGTGAAACTTTCATAAGAGTGTATATCAATAATACCTTGATAATAAATAAATTAACTAATTTAAAAAAAGAATGAAATTTTGCCATATGCAACAAACATGGATGAATTAGAGGATATTATGCTAAGTGAAATAAGTCACACAGAGAAAGGCAAATATGGTGTGATTTCACTTAATGTGGAATCTGATAACAAAACAAAATGAACAAACAAAATAGAAATAGATTCATAAACACAGAGAACAGCACAGGACTGTTGGTTACCATGGCGGTGGTGGTCAGGGGATGGATGAAATAGGTAAAAGGATAAAGAGTGCAAACTTCAAATTATAAAATAAGTCATGGGGATAGAATACAGCATAGGGAATGTAGCCAATAATATTGTAATATCTTTGCATGGTGACAGATGGTGACTACACTTATCATGGTGAGAATTTAGTATTGTCAAACCACTATGGCGTACATCTGAAACCATTGTGATATTGTATATCAACTATATTTCAAGAAAAGCTTTTTAAAAATAACCTTTAAAAATAAATAACACATTAAGTTGTTTTTTTTAAAACTAAGAAAACAAACAAACAAATAACTCTAGACACTAGAGTTATATGAAGATCTGTCTTGCAAGTCCTGCCTGGAGTGAAGGGAAGAGTCAGTGAATTCTCAAGGCCCCTGTTAGCCTTCTCCTTGGATAATAGCTTAATACACTCATCAAGGGCTTGGAAGAGGTCTGTGGTATGCCAAGGTAGCCACAAGGAAAGTCATTTAAAAAAAATCAGTTATGGAGCACTTGGGTGTCCAGTCTTGTGCTGACTTCCGTGGAGACTAGCATAAAGACTTGGCTTCTTTGCTCATTGCTGGCATCTCTTATGGGAGGTGGAGAGAGCACAGGACATACTTCCAGACTGCAAAGGTAGATGGCCATGACCCCTTTTGCACAGACTTCTTAGCCTGGAGAGTCTTTGATCTGAGTCCCTGAGCTGATGTGGAGTCAGAAGGGTGTGGAGGTCATCTTCAGAGTGGCCTGGACTGGGTCTTTTCTCCCTCAGGACGGAAGGGTGGGTGTCACTTTTTCCCTAGTAGACACAGCTGGGCTTTATCTCCCCAGCATTCCCATCCCCTCCAGAGGCCTATGTCACTCCAGACCAGCCAGTGTGGCCCTTTATCTGGGCTCTGTTTCCTCCCTGGGGACACCAGATCCCAGGCAAGAGAACTTGGCAGGCTTTCTTCATGGCGACCTTATTCCTCCTCCTTCTGGTCCTATGTGGGTGCCCCCAGGCTGCTGCAGGTAAGGAACAGGAGGTCGGGGATTCTTCAGCTATTCCAAGGTTGAGAGGGACTGCTGCTGTTTCTCCTTATGGGTGTGGGAAGGCATGTGACTCAAGAATATAGATTTACCCTAACTGACCTCACACTGCCTCTAATATAGGGGATTAACCATATTGTGACAATGAGGGTCCAGGTCATGTGCAGTTTCCTTTAGAAAATAAGAATGGATAAGTAAATGCTGCCAGGAAAGGAGAAATGAGAGGAAGCAATATGGGCATTTGCTAACTATTTCAGCCTTTTCTTTCCTGCCCTCAGATTCCCTCACTCACTGAGGGAGAGGGTAGGAAAGCCCCACCTGACTTTTTATAGCTGCCACTTGGGAAATGTGCTCACAGCCACCAGAAGGGGAGAAAGCCAAGGGTTGGAGGTTGTGTGAGGGGTTGCTGAGCTCACGGGGCTCTCCAGCCTCACACAACCCCTCCCCCACAGACAATATCCAGACCATCTATGTGGCCTTTGGGGAGACGGCGGAGCTGCCATGTCCCTCGCCACCCACCCTGCATGGGGACGAAGTCCTGTCCTGGTTCCGCAGTCCTACAGCAGGCTTCTCCACTGCTCTGGTAGCCCAAGTCCAAATGGGCAGGCTAGTCCCAGACCCTGGGAAGCTCAGAAGGGAATCCAGGCTCCGAGTGCTAGCAAACTACTCTCTGTGGCTGGAAGGCTCCAAGGAGGTCGACGCCGGGCGGTACTGGTGTGCGGTGCTGGGTCAGGACCACAAATACCAGAACTGGAGGGTGTATGATGTCTCTGTGCTCAGAGGTGAGTATAGGCATGCAGACCAGGGCCACTGGGGGCTAGTAAGCCCAGGCAAAGAAGTTAGGGGCCCCTCTTTCCCCACAGGATCCCAGTTATCTGCGAGGACTATAGATGGATCCTCCTGCTCTGTCCTCCTGTGCTCCATGGTCCCCGCCAGACGCCTGGACTCTGTGACCTGGCTAGAGGGACAGGGTCCTGTGAGGGGCCACGTACAGTCCTTCTCGGGTGATGGGGCTGCCCTGCTCTTGGTATGTCCTGGGGAGGGGCTTTCTGAGCCCAGGGGCCGTAGACCGAGAATCATCCGCTGCTTCATGCCTCAGAACAAAGGGGTCAGCTTTAGCCTGGCAGGTAAACTGAGGAGGGATATGGGAAGGCATGCTGCCTCTGGCACATCCTGCGCCTACTGGCTAGAGGAGTAGTGAATAGGAGGCAAATCTTATTAGCTAGGTTGGAGGTGCTGGTGTCTGGTGGGCAGACCATCGCCTGTGGAACAGCCTTTTTCTCACTGACTGAATCCATGACAGAGAAGGTGGTTAAGCCAGTTTTCTGGTGAACAGACCACCAGCCAAGACAGAAAAGGATTCAGTGGAATATGCCATTGTTTAGAAATAAAGTACTCTGTGATTTTTTTGGAATATCCCATAGCACAGTGGAAGGAAATAAGAATTATTGCTTGGAGAGTAGTGTTGAAGAATTCATGTACATTATCATGGTCCCTTGATATTAAAGGCAGAAGGAGATAAAATATATAATGGTTTTACAATAAAAAATCCACTATATAGAGAAAGAATGCTACTGGATGTAGAATAACCCATTGCAAGACAGGTGGGAGGAGCAAATGGCCATTATTTCAGTAAGCAGAGGCCAAATGATGGGCAGTAACAGAGTCTTATTTCCCTCTATATGGGCAGCACTTAGTATAGTACCTGGCATGCAGGCACTCAGCAAATGACTAAGGAATGGATGAGTGAAAGAATGAATACATGGAAGGCACTTCATGTTTTTTTGAAAGGATAGATTACCATGAAGGGTATAAGGAAAAATAGCAGTTATGGCTGGTGGTCTGTTCTGGAGTTTGTTGTCCATGTGTGGGCCGGGGGACACTGCCATTCTCCATTGATGCTGGCTTGTAGGCTCAGGAACAAAGGGGCAAAGTGGGGCAGTAAGGAAGCTTATGAAGTTTTCTTTTGAAAGAGCTGGCCAGACAAGAGAGGAGAGCCTCTCTTTGGGGTGCAGGGACAGACTCCTTGCTGCCTTCCTCCGTATCACTCTTGTCTTACCTTTATTGCAGCCTCCATGGATGCTTCTCCTGCCCAGTGTGCCCCTTCCATGGGCTGGGATGTGTCCTGGATCCTGATGCTGTTGCTCATAGCAGGCCTGGGAGTCACCATCCTGGTCCTCAGCATCAAGCTCTGGAGGCAGAGGATCCAAGGGGCTCAGTGCAGAGGTGAGTCCCTCCCTCCCAGGGGTAAGAAAAGAGCAAGACAGCTCCTGGCTGTGTGAGGCAGAGGCCAGGGCTCACATCTTGCCTCTGGACCCTATCTTATCTAAAGGAAGAGGGTGGGAAGGAATATAGCTCTGAGTTACCTGGTGACTTCTCTGCCACACACCATGCGGCTCCTTCTTCCAAGATGCCTCGATTCTTCAGTTCAAACCTGAAATCCAGGTCTACGAGAACATCCATTTGGCCAGGCTCAGGTGAGGAACACTAGGGGACAGAGGTTTAAATCCCAGAGGTTCCTGAGGAGGTGGAGAAGTTATCCTTCATCTGTCTTTCTACTTCGCAAAATCCACAGCCTACCTGCCCCCAAGATCAGATGATCGGTGACATTTTCTGGAAAGTGTGGCCTGCTGTCTCCTGACCATCTGGCATCTGAAGGAGTCCCCAAACCCGTGGCCAAGGGGATGGGGCTGAGAGCACCACTTCAGCCTAGCTGGTCTTCAGCCGCCAAGCTGTGGGGGTTGCTGGGAGGGGGGCGCTGAACGGAAGGAGAAGCGATGTCTGTGATGTCACCCATGAAGAGATGTGGTTTTCTGTCTTGTAGCAGCCAGTGGAGCGGTGTCCCTGAGCCCGCAGTACCCTGGGATTGAGGGGAGCCAGGGTAGCTGGTAGCGGTGCGGAGGGCTGGGGATGGGCAGAGAGGAGACAGAAGAATCCAGAGACTGGAGCACTGGTGGAGAATCAGTCACATGGGAGCCAAAGGACAAACGCGGAAACCGAAGAAGAGAGAAGGGAAGAGACTCAATCAGTCAGAGGAAGGAGAGGGCAGAGAGAGAAAAGCACGAAGTGAGAGGAGTGAGGGACAGAGAGAATGGAAAGACTCAAATTGCCTCTAAATTAAACAGACCACGCCTCCCCCCCCACCAGGTCTCGTCTGGTCTCCTCCGCGAACCGCGCACCGCTCACCGCCGCGCACCACCGCGCACCCACCCCCCGCTGTGGGGAGACCTAACGCCCTTTCATCAGACACCAGACTTCCTCAGATGGAAGGGGAGGGAGCTGAGTCAGGATGGCATGCCTGTAATCCTCCTTATCCTAGGCACTTCACTGTGACAGTGAGCAGTTTATCAGAACCCTGGCATCCTGGGAGCCCCAGGAGTCACATGTTATCTCCCCGGGCAGAGGGAGTGTCCATGGGGACGGGTTGGTGGATGCCCTGTGGGGTAGGTAATCAGGCCCTGCGCTGGCTGTAAACCATGGACAAGTTGGGTTGGCGAAGCCTGGTTGGAGGGGCGTTGATGCTCCCAGCTCATGCATTCCCATTCTCGGCAGAAATGAGCTGGACTCACAGCCACACCCTCACAAGCAGCTCCACCAGGCACCCTTTTTGTGTGGTTGCTCAAGCATGGGCTTCATTGGAGAAAAGCTTCCTCAGAAGTCTTGCCTAAAGCCTAAAGCTTCATCTAAGCTGTTGGCAAGAAGGACGCCAGTAACAGAGATGAAGAATGAGGTGAAGTTATGGTTCAGCACCCAGCCCAGCCCACCAAGCAGCTGTAGTTTGCTTTTAGAGACTGCACACACACACACACACACACACACACACACACAGCAGTGTTACCAGACACTCAGCACTTTTATTGAATTTTCTCTTCATACTTCCCCAACAATCTCCTTCCTGAGTTCTGACCTATCAAAGTAATCTTAACTAGCAAGACTCTCCTTCCCACCACACCTGGTACCCCTTCAATCCCCTGGTCTGGTACCCACAGCTTCACCAAAACTCTTGCCTGCCACAGACCCGGATCTGAGAGAGGACATCAGCAACAGGCATCTCGAAGACAACAAAAGACATGGAACAGGTGTTCTTCCTGAGGCTGGGCTCTGAGCAGGTGCCTGGGTGGGGGCTGGCGCAATGCCCATAGGAATCAGGCATTCAGAGGGCTCTGTGAAGGCCAGAGATCTGGGTCTTTCTACAAAATCAGGTTCTTGGACATATTTCAGAAGGGTCTGTGCAGGTGTTTCCAGGGCCATGGTGGTGGTGGAGGAGGAGTCCTGGGTTGAAGGCTGCAGATCACTTGAGACTAGTGCTGGAGGTGGCATTCCCAGGTGAAGCTGGCCACCAGGAGGAGCAAGGTGGTCAGGAGGGGGCTGGGGAGCTCCCGCAGTGTGGGGGCTGCATTGCACAGGTCCTGCTCGCAGCAGTGGTGCCAAAGAGTATAGGAGTGTGCCCAGTAGGTGGCGTGGCCCAGCAGAGGGCACTGGGCCCTTGGGAGGCAGCATTTGCCCTTGATGATCTCACTCCATTCTGTGGGACAAAATGGGTGCTGAGGCAGGGGCAGGAAGGAGGCAAGGGCCATGGGCAGCAGGAAACGTAGATGGATGCAAGTGGGGAACACCCTGGAGAAGGGCCACTAGGCCAGAGTCCTAACCTGAGGTGCCAATACTGATGCCACAAGCTTCATCATCCTGACAGTCTGTGAGAACAGGGTAGCAGGGTTTGGCGAAGCTGCAGGTGTAGCAGCGGAGCTTTCCCTGGGCAGGGGAAGTGGTGAGACCTGTGGAGTCTGAGATCAGGGTAGGGACAAGAGATAAAGAGGCCAGGGGAGAGGCCAGACTCAGATCAAGGACAGGGGCCCACAGAGAGGTGACGCACAAAATGGGGAGAGGGAAGTAGCGAAGTGGATGGAGTGGGACAGACAGAAGTAGACAAAGGGATGGAGAACGGAGGGGAGATGATGCAGGAAAAGAAAAAGACACAGAGGCAAGAGGGATGAAGGGATTGTGAGAGATGCACAGACAGGAACAGAAGCCAAGAGAATCAGGGGTGAACATAGGGAATGACATGAAGTGGAGGTGTGTGCAGCAGTGAAGAAGTTAAACAGGTAGTGCTGGAGACACATGAGAAACAATTGACATTGACCAGGGACCCAGCAAAGAAGCAAGAGGTGAGATAAGGGACAGACAGGGGAGATGGAGGACAAGGCCATGCCAAAGATGCCACAAGGAAGAGACAGTTATTCTCAAATGCCTTTTTTTTATTCCACCTTATCAGCCTGGCATGAGGCCATCCCAGTAACTCTTGTTTCTAAAGCCCCTGCAAGCCTCTCTCAGCTTCCTCCCCCGACCTCTCAGTCTTCTCCACAATCCCTGGCCCCAGCCCCCTCCCCTAAGGATTCCCAAGCCACCCTTACCCAGTGCCCCATAGAGGAATAGGATGCAGAGGAAGAAGCTGAAGGTGCTCAGGAGTCTGGAAGAATATAATCAGAGCACCGAGATCCAAGAGTTGGAGAGTTGGAGCATATGAGCAACACTGGGAGGGACCAGTAAGTAAACACACCTAGGGGGTGAATCTGGGGTGTTGTGTGGGATGTGGCAGATTCTCCAGCCTGATGCAGCAAGGGCCTTGGCCCTCTGCTCCTGCACCCCACATCTCACATCCTCCCTGCCCCCTCCTTGAGTCTGCTTTTGCCTTGAGGGACTCCCTATTCTCTCAGTGTGTGTCTTAACTCTTAGCTGTGTCTACCGCTGCTGAGTTGTGTCTGTCACTTTCCCTCCTACTCCTCTCCCTCCCTCCCCATCTCAAGCTGTTCTCTGCTCTCCACTGCCTCCCTGTCTTAGTTTTCTCTGTCTTTTCCCCCTCTGTGTATTTAAGCCTCTCAGGTTTATCCTCCTAAACAGCTCTGGCCCAGATCAGTTTGACTGCAGTTGGAGTGTGGAATTAGCAATACTTCCTCCCACCCACCCACACACACGCGCACACACACACACACACACAGCCCAGATGCAAGGACCCCACCCAGTTTCAGATCCCTTTGATTCCCCCAAGCCTCAACATTCCTACCCCATAATTATCAATTATCCCTCCCAGTTTTACTACCTTCCATGAAAAATTAATCATGGGTGGGGCCAGTAGGATGGATGTGTTCCACTGGAGGGAGAGGGGGTAGGGGGCCAGAAATATTAGCAAGGGATGCAGGGGAAGATTTCAGGGGGCAGTGGTAGAGTCTGTAAGACTGGGCTTTAACAGATTGGGGAGAACAATCATATAGGGGTATCAAGGCAGGAATATACCAGGAGGAGTGAGACTGGGGGTAGAGGAGACACAAATATCCACGGAGCAGCAGTGCTCCAAAACTTTTGTATCTCAGGACTTCTTTACAGTCTTAAAAATTACTGAAGACCCCGAAAAACTTTTCTTTGGGTTATATTATATCTGTAACTATATATAGTTATATTTATATTTACTATATTAGAAATTAAAAAGAACATTTTAAATAGACTCATTTAAAAAATAAAATCGAAAAATAATAAACCTATTACATGTTAACAAAATGTACTTTTGTGAAAAATGACTTCTTTCCCAAACATACAGTGAGAATTGCTTTACACTTTGGGGAATCTAATGTCAGGCTTAATAGAAGATGGCTAGGTTTTCATGTCTGCTTCTGCATTCAGTGTGTTAGGATATGTTGTTTTAATTGAAGTATATGAAGAAATTTCCACCTCACACAGATATGTGGTTGGAAAAGGAAAACGGCTGAGGACTTTCTGAATGGGTCTTAGGGAACTCCTGGAGTCCTGGGGCCACAGTGTTAGAAATGCTACTGAGGATTAAGGAGTCTGGGGACTCCAGAGGATGCTAAGAGCTCTTTCTCCCATGGGGCCCCTCCCTGTCCCCACTGGGGCCTCTGGGGCCTGCTGGGGGAGATTCTTTCCTCACTTTTTATTGCCCTATAAAGCCCAGGACAAGGGGGATATAAGGCTGGCAGCCCAGGGCCAGGGAGGGGGGTGGGTGGGAGGGAGAGCTGCTACTGACACAGGCAGACACCATGAACCCCCTCCTCATCATCGGGATCCTGCTCGGGCCCCTGCTTGGAGCTGCCTTGGGTAAGGGCACTGCCCAGACACCTTCTGCTGGCCAGCTCCTCTGTGAGCCCAGGTCCAGCGGCGTCTTCTCTCCTGCCAGGAAACCGTATGGGGTGCTATGACTGCGGGGGAGGCCCCAGCAGCCCCTGCAAAGAGACTGTGACCACCTGTGGTGAGGGCAAGCACTGTGGCTTCCTGGAGCACAAACCCCAGCCAGGCCTGGGACAGAGCAAGCTGTCTGAAAAATGTGAGTCCTCAGTTTCTCCTTCTTCCCTCATCCCTTCTCTGCCTCCAGCCTCTACTTTAATCTTTCTGGCTTCCAGAACCCTTCAGGCTCCATCTGGCTCTGGGCAGATGGTGCTTCTGTCAGAGTAGAGCTGTCTGTAGCCCCCTCTGTTTCCTGGAGCTGAGCCCCTCTCGTGAGCTGTCCCATGTGCTCCCATGTGCTCCTCTTCTTTCCAGAATCTCAGGCCCATTCACTCACAAACAGCTGAAAAAGCTCTGTCCCTTGAAGGCAGGGACCAAAATTTTAAACCAAACTTTAACTGGCAGGCATCAGCTAAAGACCAGAGAGGTATGTGTGTGTTTTAATTTTTTAAGTTTTAATTTTGAAATAGTTTTAGATTGATAGAAATGTTGTAAAAGTAGTACAGAAAGTTCTTATATATCCTTCACCCAGCTGTCTTTAATGTTAATACCCTATATAATCATAGGACCATTATCAAAATCATCAAATAATGCTGGTACAGTACTACTAACTAACCTACAGAACTTACTCAGTGTAGCCAGTTGTTCACTATGTCCTTTCTCTGGTTCAGGACACAAACCAGGATTCCACATTACATTTAGCTCTCATATCTTCTTAGTCACCCTTGATCTGTGCTGGTTTTGAATTTTTGTCTTCCGTGACCTTGACACTTTTGAAGAGTCCTGCTAAGTTACTTTGTAAAATGTCCCTTAATTTGGACTTACCTATGTTTTCTCATGATTAGATGGAATTCATGAGTCTAGGGCAGGAATACCACAGACATAATGACGGTCCTTTTCAGTTTCTCATGCTGGCGTTCACAGTGTCAATGTGACAGCTTTGACCACTTGATTTCTGGGAGGTGTTTTTTTTTTGGTATCATTTATCTACAATTACATGAGGAACATTATGTTTACTAGACTCCCCCCTTCACCAAGTCCCCCCCATATACACCATTAGTCACTGTCCATCAGCGTAGTGAGATGCTCTAAAATCACTACTTGTCTTCTCTGTGTTGCACAGCCCTCCCCGTGCCACCCCCACATTATACATGCTAATCGTAAGGCCCCTTTCTTCTCCCCCCTGCTTCTCCCTCCCTTTCCACCCATCCTCCCCAGTCCCTTTCCCTTTGGTAACTGTTAGTTCATCCTTGGGTTCTGTGATTCTGCTGCTATTTTGTTTGGGAGGTGTGTTTTGAGGGGGCAGAGAATCCCTTTGGACTCCTTGAAATCAGACCTGCTCTGTCCCAGAAAGCAAGCCTCCAGCCAGGAGTCCAACACTCCAGTCTCATTCTCTCTCTCAGCCTCAGTGACCTTCACTCGTCACCACCCAGCCTGCGTGGCAGCCCATCATTGCAATCAAGTGGAAACAGAGTTGGTGGGAGACATGACTTACACAAACCATAGGGACTGCTGTGTCGGAGACCTGTGCAACGGCGCAGTGGCGAGCACTGCAGCCCCAGCATGCATCCTGGCTGCTGCCTTCACTGCCTTGGCCTCGCTCCTGCCTGCACTGTGGAGAGGGCAGTTGGAGTAGGGGAAAGGGAGGGAGCAAGGGAATGGAGATGAGGTGAGAAGATAAACACTCCTCCATGATCCATTAAAATCTATCAACCACTCTAGAGCTGACTGGAAAATCCCATCTTTTGTTGATGGGAATGTTGAGGGAGGAGTATGGGGATATCTAGGCTCTACTTTGAGGATTACCAGGTGACAGTGCACTTAGTTACAGTGGTGTACTCCTTAACAGACTGAACCCTAAAGGACAATGGATAATCTGCCCTAAGTGACTCCCAGATCCTGTTCCTTAGCAATAGGGATCACTGAAGGGAGCAGGCTCTGGGCTGAGTGGGGGTCACCAGGAATCAATGAATGTGGTTGTCTGGGTTTATTCCACTTTCCCCCATTTGCACCTTGGCTCCTAATACCACTAATTTTGAATTGAGAAAGGGAACGTAATAAGCACTGTGATAGGTTGCTTGGTACCCCACTTAGTAACCAGGCCAAGTAAGACCTCTGACTCTAACCTAAGGGACTGAGTCTGGAAAGAAGGTCCAAGTCCCACCCCCATGCAACTCTCTACCCTTTTTGGGGTGCCCTCAAGCCAGGCTGCACCTCCTTCTTGGTGGTACAACAGAAACGTGGCCTAAATTTGGGATAAAGATTGTTTCTACAAACACTGGGACCTGTGTATCACCCCCAGACACCAGAAGGGAGGATGATGGCCTGAAAAACCTGTTTCTCCATTTGCCCCAGCCCAGCCTCCCCTAGAAATTCCCTGAAGGATTCTTGGGTGAGGGCAGAAACTGAGTGTTATTTCCTGGGAGGGGACCTTGAATAATAGGTCTTCTGACAATAAACACACCAATTATCAGACACAAACATTTATTAATCAACCTGGGAAGAGGTGAGCATGGGGATGGGGTATATGTGGGAGCCAGGGTTTGGGGAATCAGCCTCATACGGTGAGGTCCTCAGGTCCTTCCTAGGAGCCTTCATTGGGGACAGGACAGAAGCTTCATTTCAGGCTCAGATCCCAAATCCTCCCCAAGTAGGGCACGGTTGAGGGCAAATAGCCCTTCTAGAGGCCAGTGGAAGATCTGGTGTGGTCTATAGGGAAGTGGGAAGGACTCAGGAAAAGCAGAGTGGGGAGACAACTGTCCCATTAAAGACAGGTGAAGGGTCTGGAGAAATGCTTTTCCGCGAAAAGGGAGGTAGGGGGAGACCGCTGTGGGAAGCCAGGTGATATGGGAACACAGGGAGAGGCTCAGGCTACAGCAGCTTGGAGGAGGGACAGCCACCAAGCAAGTCTCAGTGCAGCAGCCAGAGGCCAAAGCCAGCCAAGGAGGTGAGGAGGACAAGAGACAGAGTCCCCCACATTATACATGCTAATCGTAAGGCCCCTTTCTTCTCCCCCCTGCTTCTCCCTCCCTTTCCACCCATCCTCCCCAGTCCCTTTCCCTTTGGTAACTGTTAGTTCATCCTTGGGTTCTGTGATTCTGCTGCTATTTTGTTTGGGAGGTGTGTTTTGAGGGGGCAGAGAATCCCTTTGGACTCCTTGAAATCAGACCTGCTCTGTCCCAGAAAGCAAGCCTCCAGCCAGGAGTCCAACACTCCAGTCTCATTCTCTCTCTCAGCCTCAGTGACCTTCACTCGTCACCACCCAGCCTGCGTGGCAGCCCATCATTGCAATCAAGTGGAAACAGAGTTGGTGGGAGACATGACTTACACAAACCATAGGGACTGCTGTGTCGGAGACCTGTGCAACGGCGCAGTGGCGAGCACTGCAGCCCCAGCATGCATCCTGGCTGCTGCCTTCACTGCCTTGGCCTCGCTCCTGCCTGCACTGTGGAGAGGGCAGTTGGAGTAGGGGAAAGGGAGGGAGCAAGGGAATGGAGATGAGGTGAGAAGATAAACACTCCTCCATGATCCATTAAAATCTATCAACCACTCTAGAGCTGACTGGAAAATCCCATCTTTTGTTGATGGGAATGTTGAGGGAGGAGTATGGGGATATCTAGGCTCTACTTTGAGGATTACCAGGTGACAGTGCACTTAGTTACAGTGGTGTACTCCTTAACAGACTGAACCCTAAAGGACAATGGATAATCTGCCCTAAGTGACTCCCAGATCCTGTTCCTTAGCAATAGGGATCACTGAAGGGAGCAGGCTCTGGGCTGAGTGGGGGTCACCAGGAATCAATGAATGTGGTTGTCTGGGTTTATTCCACTTTCCCCCATTTGCACCTTGGCTCCTAATACCACTAATTTTGAATTGAGAAAGGGAACGTAATAAGCACTGTGATAGGTTGCTTGGTACCCCACTTAGTAACCAGGCCAAGTAAGACCTCTGACTCTAACCTAAGGGACTGAGTCTGGAAAGAAGGTCCAAGTCCCACCCCCATGCAACTCTCTACCCTTTTTGGGGTGCCCTCAAGCCAGGCTGCACCTCCTTCTTGGTGGTACAACAGAAACGTGGCCTAAATTTGGGATAAAGATTGTTTCTACAAACACTGGGACCTGTGTATCACCCCCAGACACCAGAAGGGAGGATGATGGCCTGAAAAACCTGTTTCTCCATTTGCCCCAGCCCAGCCTCCCCTAGAAATTCCCTGAAGGATTCTTGGGTGAGGGCAGAAACTGAGTGTTATTTCCTGGGAGGGGACCTTGAATAATAGGTCTTCTGACAATAAACACACCAATTATCAGACACAAACATTTATTAATCAACCTGGGAAGAGGTGAGCATGGGGATGGGGTATATGTGGGAGCCAGGGTTTGGGGAATCAGCCTCATACGGTGAGGTCCTCAGGTCCTTCCTAGGAGCCTTCATTGGGGACAGGACAGAAGCTTCATTTCAGGCTCAGATCCCAAATCCTCCCCAAGTAGGGCACGGTTGAGGGCAAATAGCCCTTCTAGAGGCCAGTGGAAGATCTGGTGTGGTCTATAGGGAAGTGGGAAGGACTCAGGAAAAGCAGAGTGGGGAGACAACTGTCCCATTAAAGACAGGTGAAGGGTCTGGAGAAATGCTTTTCCGCGAAAAGGGAGGTAGGGGGAGACCGCTGTGGGAAGCCAGGTGATATGGGAACACAGGGAGAGGCTCAGGCTACAGCAGCTTGGAGGAGGGACAGCCACCAAGCAAGTCTCAGTGCAGCAGCCAGAGGCCAAAGCCAGCCAAGGAGGTGAGGAGGACAAGAGACAGAGCCGGGGTGGACCAAGGGCCGGGCTGTTGCAGCTGTCCTAGTTACAGCAAGTGGTGTTGTAGGTCAGGCCCAGCTTTCTGCTCATTTGGTTGATGGCCTCTCAACAGGGCTCTTCCTATGTGCCACAACGAAGATTGGAGAAAACCCACATCTTAGCTGGGGGTAGGAGTGGGCAGTGGGTTTAGCTGGGATGGGCACCTGACATGCATGTGTCTACCTCCTACCCAACTCTGTCCCTGGCCCTCCCCGTCTTTATCTCTTCTCAGTCTAACTGACTGCCCCACACCTCCTTCCCCATCCCTGCACCCAGACCTGGTCCTATCCCTTGCTGGCTGTGAGGACTTGAACCTGTTATTGTCTCTTTCTGAGGCAGTTTCCTCAGCATCATAACAGCACCAAATCATAGGGTTTTATGAACATTAATTGAAACGATCCATGTTAAGTCGTAGAATGGCACCTGACACAGAATCCTGTGCCAAATGTTACCATTGCTGAAATTTTCTGTTCCATCTCAGTCTCAGCCTTAGTCTGGCCTCAACCCCAACTATAGTCTCCCACCGGCCGTCTCTCTCCATGGAAGGAGGGGCTGTTACCGAGGTACACATTTGTTGTCAGGCATTGTTGTCCTGGTTCCAGGAGGCAGGAGACTGCCCGTCCACACAGGGACCTTGTAGCAGGAGTGACAGCGAATGCCAGCTGGGAAGAAGACACAAGTCAGGCTGAGGTGTTGGGGTGTGTGACTCACCTGCAGGGGAGTCAGGCTGTGGGGTAGGGTGGAGAAGAGCCAGTCAGTAAGTATTCCTACATGTTTGGTCTGGTAGGGACAGAGCAGGTGAGCAGTGCAGAAAAAGTGGAAGTGGGTGAAGGTAGAATTGTTCCTTTGGAAAGAGCAACACCCGAAATGACTTCTTCACCCCACCCTACTAGGAGGTGAGTCAGAAGAGGCAGAGATACCAACAAACATATATGGCTGGGGATAGATGGAATGTGAGAATACCGTGGGGGAAAGAATGTAGAAGGCAGGGGAGAAAATGAAAGAATTCAGAAGACATCACAGATGGAGACTTGAAATAGGAAGAAATATTAGAAATAGAAATCATGGAAGTTATAACACTTGCAGAAATGGCTTGGAACTTGAAGCTGGCATGAATACCACCTTTAGCAATTTACTCTCACCTCCTAGGACTGCCAAGAACATGGGAAAAGGAACTAGACCTGAACAGGATCCACTCACCCCAGCAGAAAAGAATCTCTGACAAAATATCTGGGAGACAGATCATCAGATTCCACCTGAGCACCTTACCAAATGGAGAGGGTGGGTGCAGAAGGCAGCACCCTCAAACATCCTGCCTCAGCTATTCAAGGTTTGGGCATAGAGGTTTGGTGAAAGAGGGGGTTGATACAAGAGTGAAGGAGCCTGGTGACTGCACCTCAGAGTGCAGTCTGCACCTGGGAGTGAGCAGCTCTGGCAGTCCCTTCCTAGAAGGCTAGGAAATCTTCCTGGTTCCTGGGGAGGTTCTGAGAGGTCACTGGGACCCTCCAGAAAGCTTGTGTCCCTGGGGGTATGTGCCCCAGGCAGGAGTAGGGAGGCACTGGAAAGGCCACTGCTTTAGGGACTGAGCACAAAGTCCCTGATGGAATACATGGAGAGGGTGGGGTGCAAAAGAAGCCCCAGGCTTGATGCCCAGTTTCTGGAAGGACCCTGCTGAGTGCAGGTGGTGAGAGGAGAAAGCAGGTAAGCTGGATCCCAGAGAGTTTTTACTGGAGTGGGGTTGGCAGGAGAACTGGATGTCAGAATTGGCAAGAAGGGGGCACCTTAGAGTGGGGAACAGGCGACCTGGAGCCTGGCAGGTTAGAAGTGTGGGTCTTGGAGGTGGAGAGGAGTCTGAAGGATGGAGATGTGGGTCCTTGAGAAATGGAGCAAGGACCTTGTCACAAGGAGACCTGGTTCTGGAGGCACAGGAGAGCCACTTAGGGAAGGGTGAGAGGTGGGGTGGGGGTGGGATCCTGTGTGGTAGGTAGTGTATGGCAGTGGCTGGGTCAGGGTATAAGTCCTGACTGGGTGAACTAGGTCCTTGGGGCCCCTAGGAGCTCACCTGTGACCCAGCAAAGCAGAGAAGACAGGGTTGAGCAGCAGAAGGCCTTTCATTGTGATGGTCCTGAAAATGGTAGCAAGTGCAGCAGCTGACAGAGTAAGTTTTCAGGGATCCAGCTCTGGGAATTGAGTGGCCTTTTTGGAATTTGTAATCCCAATGGTCCCTCCCTTCCCTGCCTCTGGTGGCCCCACCTTCCCTGTTTACACACAGCAGATACAGGAAAACAGCAGTGGTGGTGAGGGGCTAAGCAGGACTAGGTAGGGGAGTAGGGATGGGAAAGAGGTGAGGTTCACTAGTGGCCAACTCCATTTTGGTTCTTGGTTTCAAGCCAAGACACCCTTCCTGCCCCGCACTGGCAGCCCTGCCTGTCCAGTCCTCTGAAGAAGCATCACCAAAGGGCCCTGTGATGGTACACTGGCTGTGGTGGTAGCGTCTGCCAGTTGCTGGGAAATGGCAATGGGATCTGGCCCAACCTGATTGCCAAATTTGGGTCCCCGGAGATATTGATAGGTGTCCGTGGGCAGAAATTGAGAATTGAAGGGGCCAGATTAATCCGGTTCAATCCCCACTTGGTCTTCCCAAACTCTGCTCAGCCACAGGTTGAATAAGTAGGGCTTGTGATGTCACCAAGGGCTTCTTTGATGTCATAGTTGCAGAGGCATGAGCTGGAGCTGCCTCCTAAGGAGGGGCTGCTTCAGGGCCCCTACAGGTTCTTGCAGCCTTGCCCTGGCCTCACTTGGGCTTGGCCTGACCTGGTTTCCTCTGCTCCAGTTAAGTTCATTGAAGTCCTAGGTGTGGGGCTTATGCACCTGCTCCCAAATGCCACCCCAATCAAAACCTGCCGGTTTGGGTGGGGCACAGCAGGCCAGAGGACAGCGTGGGCACAGACAGGTGAAGCAGAAGCTAAAATAAGAGTAGAAATAGAAATAACAATGGCAAACACTTAAATAGTGTTCCTATGTGTCAGCTATTGTTCTAGATGGTTTATGTATATTACATTTTTTAGTTTTCACAATACTGTAGGAGGGAGGTACTTTTATCCCCATTCTCATGGAGGAGCAAACAGGCCCAGAGAAGTAAGAGACCTGCTCACATTTTGCAGCTAGTAGATGGCAAAGTCAGAATTTGAGCTTAGCCATCCAGTATCCAGAATTCCTGATGGTCACTGCCACACTGCAGGAGTCCCAGTATGTGAAAATGCTTTTGTGACCCTCCCCACGACCAATTTCAAGTGAGCGTTGTTCAGGGCTGTGAGGGATCCGAGTAGCCGGTGGCCCCACCCCCGCCCCTTATCGGAGCCCCCAGACCCGCAGTCAGCCCACCACATACCCACTCCAGTTTCCCTCCGGTCTCCTCTGCTGACTCACTCGCCTTCTCTCCCGACACATCCCAGCCATGATCCTGGTTCTGCAGCTCCTACCGCTGCTGCTGTGGAGGGCCCAGGCGAACCCCGGGGGTAAGCTGTCCCTGGGAACGTCGGGATGGACGAGGAAAAGGCTGGGGCGGGGCAGGGGACGACTGGGGGCGTGGGTTGTGTATGAGAAGATCCTGGATGGTGGGAGAGCAGAGAGGAGAGAGGCAGAGGAGACGGAAATGCGAGTGTCGAGTGTCGAGCGTCGTCTCACCCTGCGTACTTGCCCTAACCACTGTCCTCCAACTCCCCGCCTCCCCTAGCTTCACTGGACGGCAGCCCCGGGGACCGGGTGAATCTCTCCTGTGCAGGGGTCTCGCATCCCATCCGCTGGGCCTGGGCGCCTAGCTTCCCGGCCTGCAAGGGCCTGTCCAAAGGACGCCGCCCAATCCTGTGGGCCTCATCAAGCGGGACCCCCACGGTGCCTCCAGTCCAGCCCTTTGCTGCACGCCTGCGCGCCCTGGACCCTGGCATCCGGCGGCTGGAGCTGCTCCTGAGCGCGGGGGACTCAGGCACCTTTTTCTGCAGAGGCCGCCACGAAGATGAGAGCCGTACGGTTCTTCACGTGCTAGGGGACCGGGCCGATTGCAGGGCTCCGGGGCCTATTCACGGTAGGTTGAGGTCTTTGCATATAGGGGGGCTTAACTAGGACATACACCCCTGAGAGGGGGCGGGGACCTTGGCTCGGGGTTCCTGAGCCTAAGAGCTAGTTCTCTGTCCTCGAACCCCTGATCTCGGCATCCACCACCCTTCCTCCACCGCTCCCCCCAGGGTCTGTGTATTACCAGCTGCTGATCCTGCTGCTGGTCGCCGGTCTAGCGCTGGCACTAGCAGCGTTGGGCGTGGTCTGGTGGATGCGCAGGTGAGCACGAGGGGCGGGGCCTGGTTTAATGGATCGAGACCCGAGGGGGAGGCGCGGGATCAGAAGTTTCGCAGACAAAAGCTAGATCTGGGGCGGTGGGGTTTGCTTTAGAGAAGAATGGGAAAGTTAGGGGCGAGGCCGCAGTCTGGCGGGTGGAGCCCTGGCTAGGGAAGCGAAGCTAGAGCGCAGAGGAACAGAGTGTGAGCGGGAGCCTAATTCGTTTTGAAGGGGCAGAAGTTGCAAGTTGCTAGGTTATTGTTGGCGCGGCCTGGGGGCCAGGAGAACAAGAGAAAAGACTGGTGGCTCTCAAAGACTCTTCTACATTCCTTACAGGCGATCATCCCCGCACCCGCTTCCACCACTCCCCAGATTTGGTGAGACTAATTCCACCCCATTGTCCTTCCACCAGAACATTCCCCATCCCTCAATTTCTGGGTCTGAGCCCTTGCTGGGAGCAGACAAGTTGGTCACCTTTTCTCAGTCCTTCAGCTCTGTCCCCCACCACATAGCTCCACTCGTGAAAGCGGAGCCCCAGGGCCCAGTAAAGGAGGAGGAGCCTAAGACTGCAGGGGACCTGGACCAGGAACCTGTAAGGGCCTGGGGATGGGAAGGGGGCTGGCTAGAATCCCTGAGGAAAGTGAACCCAGACAGACCTGGATCCCCAAGGAGTCAGACTTCTGAGACCCTTTTACCTTCTTCCCCACTTTTCAGAGCCTGCTCTACGCAGATCTGGATCATATGGCCCTCAGAAGGCCCCGCCGCTTGACCCCAGTGGTCCCTGCTGATGCTTCCACCATCTATGCAGTTGTAGTTTGAAGGGAAGCCCTTACTCTATACCTAACAAACTGGGGATTCCCAGCTCTCCAAATAACCCCTCCCCTTCTTGGCCCCTACCTGGGAAAGGAAGGCACCACAGGATAGAAATGAGCATTGGATTGGGAGTTAGGAGACCTAGGTTCCAGGCAACTTCTGCTGCTGATCTTGCTTCTTCAGTTACCCCATCTTTCATATAACTTCCATTCTCCTCTCCTATCAGTGTTCTCTCTAAATCTGATCAAGCCCAGTCTCCCCATCTTAAGCCATTGACAACTCCTAGATTGTCACCCTAACTCTTCCCTTCCCTCACCATCAAGCTCTTTGAACCAGGGGCCTACAACCTGTCTCTTCCACTTTCTTCTCCATCACTCCACTCTCACTGCTCATCTGCTCTCCATGAGGTTGACAGTGATGTCCTAATGGCCACACCCAGTAGATTTTTTTAGTATTCATCTGGCTTGGGTTTAGATTACTTCTTTCTTTAAACTCTGTTTTTCTTTAATGCTGGTGTCTTCCTTCTGGACTCCTGTTTTTTGCTCCCTAACCCCATGGTATTCCCCACCATTCTAGGTTTGTCCCTTTCTTTATCTGCCTTCCTGTTCTCAGAAGCTGTCATCCACAGCCAGTCCTCAGCCCTCACCAGAACTCTCTCCAGCTCAGATCTCAGGTATAGGATTTCCAAACCATCCTTTGTACATCCTTGCCTGGGTAGCCCTAGGTGTTTTGCACACAGCCTATCCCAAACCCAAATGATTGTCATCTGCTAAGGCACTCACTTAATCTTCCTCTGCATTCTCTCTTGATCAACCCAGTTGCCCAAACCAGAAACTGGGAGGCATGCAGACCTTCTTCCTCACACTCCCATATAGTGAACCAAGTCCTATCTTTCTATTTTAATATCACTGTCAAATCTACACCCTTCCTCATGTCCAGTGCTGCCATCTTAATGTAAATTTCCTTATTTCCTCCCTGGATTACCCATACCCCACCTCATTCTCCTGCCCTTTCCCTCCTCCCTGAAGCCAGACAGAGCCTCCCCAAACACTAACCAGCTCCTAAGAGCCTGTAACTCCAGAAATGCAGTATTTCTTTCCTTAACCTTCAGCTCTGGGCTGATAGGCCTTGGCTTTGAGTACCAGGTGCCACAGCATTCTGCCTATTCTCCAGGCTTATCTCTGTTACTTTACATGTACACAACATGCCAGGCCCCAAATATGCCTTTGCCCCATGCAACTCCTTCTTTCTGGCTTAACCTTTTCCCTCCCCGGCATTACCTTCTTGGCTAATCCTATTTTTCCTCAGGATTCAGTTCAAGTGCAGCCTTTTCTGGGAAGTCATTCCTGACCCTCTTTGCCCACTCCTGCATACATTCTGATACCCTAGGGAGTCCCTATATTTCTCTCATAGCAACAGTCTCCTGTGAATTGTTCTATCATAGCAGTGTATGTCAGTATGTAAGAAATTTATATGTACTTTGAATTCCCTGATATCAGGAGACTGACCTTTTTTTTTATTACTGCTAAGCTTCAGTAAATGAGTGAATGAAAATGAATGTCCCTGGAAAGCATCATTTCTTCCTAAGTGTGGGCTAGTAATCTGCCAGTCTCTGAATCACCTGACATTTAGTGATCCACCATACTCACTCTTCTCTGCCCTATACATGCCCTCCACAATAGAAATTCCATCCTGTTCATTTTGTGGATGGACACCTAAGACAGGGTTGGGCAATAAGTCAGGAAGTGCCTAATTAGGGTTTGATGAATGAGAGAGGCCTTCTTCCTAGTACTAACCTCAATCTCAAGTGTCAGCCCTGCCCTTGCCCCTTTGTCCCAGTAAGACACCAGCCACCACCCAGTCTAAAAGGTCAGTTCTGTTTTATTGTTCTAGGGGAGAGGACTCACCCAGTGGCCTCTATCCTTTTTTCTCCCACACTATGCCCTCCCCCCATCCTGGGGCCCTCTTCTCACTACTGCCTATTCATCATCCTCTCTGTAATCCTCCATTCCCTTCCACTCCCTATGTGACCCTATTCCTGGCTCACCAGGACCCCAAGGCCAGGCCTTCAGCTGTGGGGGCGTGTGCTGAGCACCAGGCAGAGGGAGCTGAGCCCAGCGCCTGCTTTCTCCAGTTCTGAGCAGGACACAGGTACCAGGGTCACATCAGAGAGCTTCTGCAGTGCCTGCAGGAAAGACATGAAGTGAGGAGAGGGGAATGAGACCCGAAGCCACAGCAGGCCCCCCTACTAGCCAGCTCAGAGTGGTCCCACCCAGGTTTCCAGAGAAGGTACCCCTCCTTCCTCCCACTAGCAAGGCCTGAGACTCCTTCCTCTGGGTAGTGGTGGTGGCGATGCTCCTGCCTCCCCTCACCTCCTGGCTGTTGGGCAGGTCCCCACCTCCACGGTGCAGGAGGAAAGGGAGCACCCCGGGCAACCCAGGACGCAGAAAAAGACAGTCAGCAGCTGCGTCATCTGGGAGGGTCAGTGAGGCATAGGGGTGATCCGTCAACACTGCCATTGCCTGGGGGAGAGGAAAGAGGATGCGATCAAGTCTCATGACCTCTTCCCAACTGAGTCTGGCTGCCCTACCACTGCTAAGAGCAGGGGACAGTTACATTTGTGAAATAATAATGATAGCAAGCACATAGCACTTACTGTGTGTCAGGCCCTGTTTAAGCACTTTAGTTAGGTTTGCTAATTTCCACCTCGGAGTCACATGCAGTTCTTTTCCCCTGCAGCCCTCTTTTCCCTTTCTCCAGCCCCTACCTTTCAGTACCATCCATCCTTCAAGTCACAGCTTAGTCACCTTTGGGGAGTTTCTTGAAACTAAGAAGACATGTTAATGGACTCTGTTGCACTGTCTCCCAGCTGCCTGTCCCCCTAACGTAACTTGACACTTGACATTGATAGCTCCATGCAGGCAGGGGTTGGAGCTAATTTTCCCAACCTCTGAGCAACGGCCTCCCAGGCCTGGAGCCAACGCCCACTTCAGTGGGCTTGCCCCCGCCCCCGCCTCCTTCATCCCGGCCCCGCCTCTCCTCACCCTGACAGCCTTTTGGGCGGCTTCACTGCTACCTGCCACCACAGTGCGTGGTCCCCCCATGCCACAGAGGCCACGCAGGTGGGAGGGACTCGAGACCGGGACTGTGGAGACCGCAAAGTCCTAGGAGAAACAAGGGAAAGTATTCAGGGATGCGGGGATACCCTCAAACACAGGCTGCTCTCATCCTCTCCCTCTCAGCGCCCTCCCCCACACCAGCCCCTCCATCCCCCATCTGTTCTCCACTCTCCCCGCTCAAGGTTGGTCCCCTCCTCACTCGGAACGTGTCCGCCACGATCTCAGCTCCTCGGTGATTGGTCCACTTAGACAGGCCTACAAAAAACTCCCGGCCTGAGCCCAGGGAGGCCGCGGAGGTTTGAGGGTGAGAGTGAATTGGAAACAAGGCCCGAGATTGCCCAGTCTCCCAGACTTTGCTTCCCTGTGCCAAGCCCCAGGGGTGCAGGCAACCCAACCTCACCGGTGAAGAGAACATCAGTGCCATCCAGCGTTGCATTCTCGTCCCCCATCTCCATAATTCGGAGACCCAGGTCCTGGAGGGCTTTGCGGATTCCTGAACCCCGGGGGTAAGCTGTCCCTGGGAACGTCGGGATGGACGAGGAAAAGGCTGGGGCGGGGCAGGGGACGACTGGGGGCGTGGGTTGTGTATGAGAAGATCCTGGATGGTGGGAGAGCAGAGAGGAGAGAGGCAGAGGAGACGGGAATGCGAGTGTCGAGTGTCGAGCGTCGTCTCACCCTGCGTACTTGCCCTAACCACTGTCCTCCAACTCCCCGCCTCCCCTAGCTTCACTGGACGGCAGCCCCGGGGACCGGGTGAATCTCTCCTGTGCAGGGGTCTCGCATCCCATCCGCTGGGCCTGGGCGCCTAGCTTCCCGGCCTGCAAGGGCCTGTCCAAAGGACGCCGCCCAATCCTGTGGGCCTCATCAAGCGGGACCCCCACGGTGCCTCCAGTCCAGCCCTTTGCTGCACGCCTGCGCGCCCTGGACCCTGGCATCCGGCGGCTGGAGCTGCTCCTGAGCGCGGGGGACTCAGGCACCTTTTTCTGCAGAGGCCGCCACGAAGATGAGAGCCGTACGGTTCTTCACGTGCTAGGGGACCGGGCCGATTGCAGGGCTCCGGGGCCTATTCACGGTAGGTTGAGGTCTTTGCATATAGGGGGGCTTAACTAGGACATACACCCCTGAGAGGGGGCGGGGACCTTGGCTCGGGGTTCCTGAGCCTAAGAGCTAGTTCTCTGTCCTCGAACCCCTGATCTCGGCATCCACCACCCTTCCTCCACCGCTCCCCCCAGGGTCTGTGTATTACCAGCTGCTGATCCTGCTGCTGGTCGCCGGTCTAGCGCTGGCACTAGCAGCGTTGGGCGTGGTCTGGTGGATGCGCAGGTGAGCACGAGGGGCGGGGCCTGGTTTAATGGATCGAGACCCGAGGGGGAGGCGCGGGATCAGAAGTTTCGCAGACAAAAGCTAGATCTGGGGCGGTGGGGTTTGCTTTAGAGAAGAATGGGAAAGTTAGGGGCGAGGCCGCAGTCTGGCGGGTGGAGCCCTGGCTAGGGAAGCGAAGCTAGAGCGCAGAGGAACAGAGTGTGAGCGGGAGCCTAATTCGTTTTGAAGGGGCAGAAGTTGCAAGTTGCTAGGTTATTGTTGGCGCGGCCTGGGGGCCAGGAGAACAAGAGAAAAGACTGGTGGCTCTCAAAGACTCTTCTACATTCCTTACAGGCGATCATCCCCGCACCCGCTTCCACCACTCCCCAGATTTGGTGAGACTAATTCCACCCCATTGTCCTTCCACCAGAACATTCCCCATCCCTCAATTTCTGGGTCTGAGCCCTTGCTGGGAGCAGACAAGTTGGTCACCTTTTCTCAGTCCTTCAGCTCTGTCCCCCACCACATAGCTCCACTCGTGAAAGCGGAGCCCCAGGGCCCAGTAAAGGAGGAGGAGCCTAAGACTGCAGGGGACCTGGACCAGGAACCTGTAAGGGCCTGGGGATGGGAAGGGGGCTGGCTAGAATCCCTGAGGAAAGTGAACCCAGACAGACCTGGATCCCCAAGGAGTCAGACTTCTGAGACCCTTTTACCTTCTTCCCCACTTTTCAGAGCCTGCTCTACGCAGATCTGGATCATATGGCCCTCAGAAGGCCCCGCCGCTTGACCCCAGTGGTCCCTGCTGATGCTTCCACCATCTATGCAGTTGTAGTTTGAAGGGAAGCCCTTACTCTATACCTAACAAACTGGGGATTCCCAGCTCTCCAAATAACCCCTCCCCTTCTTGGCCCCTACCTGGGAAAGGAAGGCACCACAGGATAGAAATGAGCATTGGATTGGGAGTTAGGAGACCTAGGTTCCAGGCAACTTCTGCTGCTGATCTTGCTTCTTCAGTTACCCCATCTTTCATATAACTTCCATTCTCCTCTCCTATCAGTGTTCTCTCTAAATCTGATCAAGCCCAGTCTCCCCATCTTAAGCCATTGACAACTCCTAGATTGTCACCCTAACTCTTCCCTTCCCTCACCATCAAGCTCTTTGAACCAGGGGCCTACAACCTGTCTCTTCCACTTTCTTCTCCATCACTCCACTCTCACTGCTCATCTGCTCTCCATGAGGTTGACAGTGATGTCCTAATGGCCACACCCAGTAGATTTTTTTAGTATTCATCTGGCTTGGGTTTAGATTACTTCTTTCTTTAAACTCTGTTTTTCTTTAATGCTGGTGTCTTCCTTCTGGACTCCTGTTTTTTGCTCCCTAACCCCATGGTATTCCCCACCATTCTAGGTTTGTCCCTTTCTTTATCTGCCTTCCTGTTCTCAGAAGCTGTCATCCACAGCCAGTCCTCAGCCCTCACCAGAACTCTCTCCAGCTCAGATCTCAGGTATAGGATTTCCAAACCATCCTTTGTACATCCTTGCCTGGGTAGCCCTAGGTGTTTTGCACACAGCCTATCCCAAACCCAAATGATTGTCATCTGCTAAGGCACTCACTTAATCTTCCTCTGCATTCTCTCTTGATCAACCCAGTTGCCCAAACCAGAAACTGGGAGGCATGCAGACCTTCTTCCTCACACTCCCATATAGTGAACCAAGTCCTATCTTTCTATTTTAATATCACTGTCAAATCTACACCCTTCCTCATGTCCAGTGCTGCCATCTTAATGTAAATTTCCTTATTTCCTCCCTGGATTACCCATACCCCACCTCATTCTCCTGCCCTTTCCCTCCTCCCTGAAGCCAGACAGAGCCTCCCCAAACACTAACCAGCTCCTAAGAGCCTGTAACTCCAGAAATGCAGTATTTCTTTCCTTAACCTTCAGCTCTGGGCTGATAGGCCTTGGCTTTGAGTACCAGGTGCCACAGCATTCTGCCTATTCTCCAGGCTTATCTCTGTTACTTTACATGTACACAACATGCCAGGCCCCAAATATGCCTTTGCCCCATGCAACTCCTTCTTTCTGGCTTAACCTTTTCCCTCCCCGGCATTACCTTCTTGGCTAATCCTATTTTTCCTCAGGATTCAGTTCAAGTGCAGCCTTTTCTGGGAAGTCATTCCTGACCCTCTTTGCCCACTCCTGCATACATTCTGATACCCTAGGGAGTCCCTATATTTCTCTCATAGCAACAGTCTCCTGTGAATTGTTCTATCATAGCAGTGTATGTCAATATGTAAGAAATTTATATGTACTTTGAATTCCCTGATATCAGGAGACTGACCTTTTTTTTTATTACTGCTAAGCTTCAGTAAATGAGTGAATGAAAATGAATGTCCCTGGAAAGCATCATTTCTTCCTAAGTGTGGGCTAGTAATCTGCCAGTCTCTGAATCACCTGACATTTAGTGATCCACCATACTCACTCTTCTCTGCCCTATACATGCCCTCCACAATAGAAATTCCATCCTGTTCATTTTGTGGATGGACACCTAAGACAGGGTTGGGCAATAAGTCAGGAAGTGCCTAATTAGGGTTTGATGAATGAGAGAGGCCTTCTTCCTAGTACTAACCTCAATCTCAAGTGTCAGCCCTGCCCTTGCCCCTTTGTCCCAGTAAGACACCAGCCACCACCCAGTCTAAAAGGTCAGTTCTGTTTTATTGTTCTAGGGGAGAGGACTCACCCAGTGGCCTCTATCCTTTTTTCTCCCACACTATGCCCTCCCCCCATCCTGGGGCCCTCTTCTCACTACTGCCTATTCATCATCCTCTCTGTAATCCTCCATTCCCTTCCACTCCCTATGTGACCCTATTCCTGGCTCACCAGGACCCCAAGGCCAGGCCTTCAGCTGTGGGGGCGTGTGCTGAGCACCAGGCAGAGGGAGCTGAGCCCAGCGCCTGCTTTCTCCAGTTCTGAGCAGGACACAGGTACCAGGGTCACATCAGAGAGCTTCTGCAGTGCCTGCAGGAAAGACATGAAGTGAGGAGAGGGGAATGAGACCCGAAGCCACAGCAGGCCCCCCTACTAGCCAGCTCAGAGTGGTCCCACCCAGGTTTCCAGAGAAGGTACCCCTCCTTCCTCCCACTAGCAAGGCCTGAGACTCCTTCCTCTGGGTAGTGGTGGTGGCGATGCTCCTGCCTCCCCTCACCTCCTGGCTGTTGGGCAGGTCCCCACCTCCACGGTGCAGGAGGAAAGGGAGCACCCCGGGCAACCCAGGACGCAGAAAAAGACAGTCAGCAGCTGCGTCATCTGGGAGGGTCAGTGAGGCATAGGGGTGATCCGTCAACACTGCCATTGCCTGGGGGAGAGGAAAGAGGATGCGATCAAGTCTCATGACCTCTTCCCAACTGAGTCTGGCTGCCCTACCACTGCTAAGAGCAGGGGACAGTTACATTTGTGAAATAATAATGATAGCAAGCACATAGCACTTACTGTGTGTCAGGCCCTGTTTAAGCACTTTAGTTAGGTTTGCTAATTTCCACCTCGGAGTCACATGCAGTTCTTTTCCCCTGCAGCCCTCTTTTCCCTTTCTCCAGCCCCTACCTTTCAGTACCATCCATCCTTCAAGTCACAGCTTAGTCACCTTTGGGGAGTTTCTTGAAACTAAGAAGACATGTTAATGGACTCTGTTGCACTGTCTCCCAGCTGCCTGTCCCCCTAACGTAACTTGACACTTGACATTGATAGCTCCATGCAGGCAGGGGTTGGAGCTAATTTTCCCAACCTCTGAGCAACGGCCTCCCAGGCCTGGAGCCAACGCCCACTTCAGTGGGCTTGCCCCCGCCCCCGCCTCCTTCATCCCGGCCCCGCCTCTCCTCACCCTGACAGCCTTTTGGGCGGCTTCACTGCTACCTGCCACCACAGTGCGTGGTCCCCCCATGCCACAGAGGCCACGCAGGTGGGAGGGACTCGAGACCGGGACTGTGGAGACCGCAAAGTCCTAGGAGAAACAAGGGAAAGTATTCAGGGATGCGGGGATACCCTCAAACACAGGCTGCTCTCATCCTCTCCCTCTCAGCGCCCTCCCCCACACCAGCCCCTCCATCCCCCATCTGTTCTCCACTCTCCCCGCTCAAGGTTGGTCCCCTCCTCACTCGGAACGTGTCCGCCACGATCTCAGCTCCTCGGTGATTGGTCCACTTAGACAGGCCTACAAAAAACTCCCGGCCTGAGCCCAGGGAGGCCGCGGAGGTTTGAGGGTGAGAGTGAATTGGAAACAAGGCCCGAGATTGCCCAGTCTCCCAGACTTTGCTTCCCTGTGCCAAGCCCCAGGGGTGCAGGCAACCCAACCTCACCGGTGAAGAGAACATCAGTGCCATCCAGCGTTGCATTCTCGTCCCCCATCTCCATAATTCGGAGACCCAGGTCCTGGAGGGCTTTGCGGATTCCATCGACCTTAGGGTGGGAGAAAAGGGCGCGGGGCCAAGACTTTCTCAATTCCAGTTCTTTTCTAAGGACCCCCACGTCCAGCATCTCATTTTCCCTTACTCCCCCACCTGCGCCCTGCGACTCACCTCCGGCCTGCGGGCGGTGCTCCAGGGCCTCGTGATTAGGGCCGTGTCTCCTTGGATCACGGCGGTGTCACCAAGGAGCGGTCCGAGCGGCAGCGACTCTTCAGGAGGCAGTTCCAGCAGCTGCAGCCCCAATCGCTGCCTCAGTTTACCCCCCAGTACCCCGTGCTCCCTCTGAGCTTTAGCCAGGTCCAGAGCCGGGAGGCCAGCCACCGCACCCTCTCCCGACGCCAGGCTCTCCGGGACCCCCCGGATCAAGGCATGGGTGCAGCGGCCCAGCCCCTCCCCCGGAGTCCCCATCCCATCCACACAGACGACCCCTCTGGCCGCACTTATTTCTTAGTTTTCTCTTTTTACTTCACCTGTCTGGAAGGAGAGACAGAAGAGGGGAAGGTAGAGAAAGAGACGTGCAGAGAAGGGCGTAGGGGTTTGGTTAGGAGCTCCCGGGTCTTCGTCCTGCCATCTCCAGGCGCTCCTCCCACTCCGCCCCACCCCCTCCAGACCTCCCTTTCCTGCAGACCCTACTCCATCCCGGACTGTAGCGGATCTGCTGCTTTGGGAGAGTCTGACAAACAAAACTGGATTCCCTAATTTTCAAAACACCTGTTGCCCCTGCTCGGGGGCTTGTGAGGTCCCTGCAGGGAGCCCCTCTTGGCAGCCGCTAGGATGCGCTCACTACCCAAAAATGCAGCGGCCCCGCCCCCTTAACCCTCAGCTGTTTGCTGCCGTATGACCCGAAGTGAGACGAGGTTTATGGGTTTATGGAATAGGAAGAGACAGCTGAGGGGAGAGGGTATCAGTATCAGGGCCTGAGGGATGGAAGTCGTGGGTGTTCGAATGAGAGAGAGGGGCAAGGAGGGAGGAATTGGATCTTAAAGAGTTAAACATCATCTCTCCACCCCGGCGGGTCACGCTGCCCCCTAGCCCAACCCAGTAAAAACCAGACCGAATCCCGAAGGACTGGGAGAGGTCTAAAACGAAATCCGAGGGGCGGAGAAACGGGGGGCGTGGTCCCGAGGAGCAGGCGCCACTGTGGGTTCCAGGTTCTGGTCCCCTGATCTCTCGGTCCATCTTCCCCAAAGTCCACCCTGCTCAGCTCCGCACCCAAATCTTGAACGCCCTGCACTCTGTCCGGTGCTGGCACGGACCCGGCAACCAAAACTCCGGCCCCCACACGATCCAGGGGACATCTCCCTTCCCAGACTTACCTCCAGCGGCCACCCCACTCCTGTCGCGCTGTGATCTTGGCTGGGGCCCCACCCCCCAGAGGACCAGAGTTAGTGGAGAGCCCTAGTCTTACAGCGTCGGGGGCTGGAAATCTGGCTTTTGAGGGATCCCTGAGTAGACGAGCTCAAGTACTCTGGTGGGGCGGGGACGCGACCGTCTGGCGGCTCCAGGGCATTGTCTAGGCGGGACGGGGCGGGGCTCATTTGAGGCCACGCCTACTCCACGGGGGCTATGCCCCCCCTTAACTGAACTCAGTCCCGCCCCCGAGTGCTGCCCAGACCCACCCAGATCTGGCCTGCCCGGGCGGCTGGGCTGCAAATGCGACATGGACCACATGGCACCTATGGTGGACCAGCACGAAAAACAATGCTCCACCACAAATATCCCTCTTCCAAATTACCAGCTTCTGCGCTAGTTCATTCCTTGTTATCCACACTCAAGCTCCCTTTGTTAAAAACACTAGATTTTCATTCTGTATTTTATTACTGAAATGCATTGTCCTACCCACCCCACCCCACAACAAAAATCTCACCCAGATGCCCCATCCCTTCCCTTCATGCTCCCTGCTGGCCCTGCACAAGTGCTCCAGGATTCTCTGTCCACTGGCTGTTTTGGAGTGTGTCCATTGGGTGGCCATGTGGAAACCACCCAGGGAGAAAATGGTAGGGGGTGAGGGAGCCCCAAGAGGAACTTATTGGAGCGCCTTAGCCACTTGTTCATAGGCCAGCTCTATCTCCTCATCATCTGGACAGGTGGAGGCAAACTCTTCCCGGGCATAGGCATTGCGCAAATAGCGGTGCACTCCCCGGAACACCTCTGGGATGGAGAATCCACGGTACTTCTTACAGACCACCTGGGGGTGGGGAGGGAGGGGCCAACAGGTTAGCCTCAGGGAAACTACCCTTCTCCCAAAGCCTAGGCGATAAAATCCAGCTTTCACTTCTAGGCATTTGAAACCTCCGATATCTGGCTTCTCTTCCTATGATTCTTATCTCCCATTTGAGTCTTCTCCAATGGGCCTTCTGGACTCCTCACTGTCTTGTAAACTCTTCACTCTTCTTCTCCACTTACTGAAATCCTGGCCATTTATAACCAGCCCTTTTTCAGACCACCCCATTCCATGGTGCTACTTTTCTCCTCTTGATTTTATTGAGATATAGTTTCACAAACCATATAATTCTCCTCTTGAATTTCTAAAGCGACTTCTGTCTCTTTTTTTCATTTGGCTTTTAAGTATGTATTAATAATTTACATGTGAATGTTTCATCTTCTCAGCTAGATTTCAAATCTTTTAGGGCCAGGACCAATCATATATCTTTGTGTCTTTCAGGGCCTACTACACAGATGTACAATATACAGTTCTGTGACAGACTGACAGTGGGCCTGTGTTTCACAACCCAAACCATAGCTTCGAGACTATGACAAAAATGTAGGACCCAGCAGCTTTCATCCACAAGAGGAAGTGGGAGAAGGAAGCTATAAAGAGTTAAGGCTTTGATTTAGGACAGTCCTGCTCTGTCTGATCTGGGGATTTGGCAAAGACAGAAACAGGAAGAACATTCTTAAAAGTAATACTGGGTTGTGTTACTCTTGGCCAGTCTGTTTGCACTCATGAGTCTATCATGGAATTCTATCATGGAGTTCTCACCAGAGTGACTGCCGAGAAGGAACGGAGTGGTGTCTTCTATTGGTAGCAATCTATAGAAGCTACCCTAAGAAATAAACCACCTTTGAAGTGGTTGTCATGGGAAGCTTTTGTGGGAGCTCCTTAAAGAACCATCCCAGTGGCCACCCTCTCTTACAATGACCACCCACCTGTACTATATGGAGCTTTGGCAACAGGTTGCAATCAGCCAGGGTGAGCTCATTGCCATCCAGAAACTTCCTCTGAGAGATGCCCTCATCTTCAGCACTGGTTTCATCCACTTCTTCTGGTAGGGGACATGTCAAGTAATTGTCTAAAACTTTCAGGGCTTTCAGAAGCCCTTTCTCCAGATCTGCGCAAGAGAGGGGAATTGGTGAGAACATTAGGAGAAGATCAACATAGTCCAAGTAGGCCCATGGTGGGCGGGGGTGCAAACTAATGGCAAGGCTAATCCAAAATAATAATAGCTTACAGTAATGTAGTTTTCTATATGTACTTAGCACTTTACAGACAAAAACTCATTTAATTCTCACATGGACCCATGAAATGGGGGTTGCTACCTTACTTTATATAGCAAAGTCACATACCTGGCAGGATTTGTATTCAGGTAGTCTGGATCTAAAGCCATTATTCTTAAGCACAATCCTATGCTGCCAGGAAACAGGCCAGAACCTAACCCAACTAATGTTCCCAGTGAGGCCAGAGAGGCTAGGGAACAAAGGAGAGAAGCTTAAAATTCACAGCCAATGAGAATGCAAGGAAGTATGGGAGTCGAGCAAAATAAGGCAGTGGGGATAAATGTCTGCCAACATCTCTATCTCCCTGATATCTGAATTTCTGGGTGTCCCTAATACCTCCCAATTCCTGGATCTCCTGCATTCTTCTTAGGACCCAGGCCTCCCACCTACAAGACTCACTATCATTGAGTGCTGGGTTTGAATTCTTGATGTAGGCAGAAAATTTGGCAAATATGTCCAGCCCAGCTGTGTTGGACTCAGGATTCAGAGCTGCCAGTTTGGGATACCTGAAAGAATCCCAATGGGAAAAAAAGGATAAGACATCTTCCAGGGAAAAGCCTTGGCTCCCCTGCCCCAGCTACACCACCACCTCTGTTTTCCATTTCTTCAGCTCCTCTCTTTCCCAGAGTGTCCCAGCTCCCCACCCCATTCTGAGTGCCCCTATACCTTGGAGGGCACAGTACTGCCTCCAGAAATTCCTCAATCTTGTTGGTGTCTGTGTGCACTTCGGTGCCATACAGCAGAAATGGAAGCTGCCCTCCTGGGCACAGCTTCTGTACTGTCTCAGTCCTCCTGGAGAAGAGACCAGGCATCAGGACAGGAAAAGGGGGCCAGGGAGAACCAGAAAGGAGAGATGGAGGGATGTGGGAAGAGAAAGGGGCTCTGGGTGGAAGGAAGGAATAATGAGGTTCAGTATGGAAAGACTCAGGTAGGTGAGAGGATATGTGCACACGTGTGCACATGGGGTGTTTAAAGGAACAAAGTGGGCCCACCTCTTGGTGTCAACGGTGGTGACGTTGAAGGTGACTCCCTTAAGCCAGAGCACCATGAACAGTCTCTGGGAGAAGGGGCAGTTCCCAATCTTGGCCCCATCACTGCCAGCCTGAAAAGCAACCCCCACCCCCCAAGGTTAGGCCTGGTGCATGCCACCCATCCCCAGAATATTCTCTGCATCTTCTACACCCACACCTAGCTGTTTTCCATCTAGTCATGCCACTTCCGTCTCACCACTAAAAACTTCCCCCAAAAATAAGCTCTCCACCCTGGGGGCTTGGTCAAACCTAGGGCAGATTAAGGGGACATTTTCTGTAAAGATGGGCTTATGGTTCCCCAGAGAGCTGGGGACAGGTGGGAGGCAGGCAGGGGGAATGGGTTTTGGAAAACTTGGAGGGTCTGGTCCCCAGAAAAGGAAGACTAACAGTAATGGAGGTAGTTTTTTGTGTACTATTCTAAGTACTTTACACACAAAAACTCTTTTAATTCTCACATTAACCCATGAGATAGTCCCCAGGGAGGGATTCTGGGGGACTGGGTGAGGCTGGAGCTAGAGGATAGAGGCCTGGATTCCTGGGTTCCTGAATGGAGTAGAGCTTGAGGACAGATAAGGTGGGGAAAGGTTTGGAAGCCAGAGTTTTGGTTCTCTATACTTCCACCCAAGCTGTTGATGGCAGCTGGGTGGGGAGTCAAGAGGCTCTGAGTCTTGCTCTGAAGTAGTGGAGGGCCTTGCAGAGGGGGGATGCCCTCTAAATGGCAAGTAGTGACCTCACCTCCCAAGGGACACCTCCCCCTAGGCTGAGGGTGATTCATCTCACAGTGTCTCTGGGCAGCAGCTTCCTTCCTGGCAAGGAGTGGGGGCAGGGATCTGTGAGGCTGAGGCCTGGGCAGCTAGGGCCACTTCCCTCTTCCTCTACATTGCCTGCCCGGTCTCCCAGCACACATCCCCAGCACTAAATAAACCTCCTCACACAGGACCCAGGGCCAGAATCTCTGCAGAGCAACCTCGCCCAGAAGTAAAACTAGCCCTTGAGGCAAGTGTGAGTGAGGTGGGGACCACACCTAAGTGAGGTGGCCCCAGAAACGCTGGCTGCTGGACTTACACGGGGCACAGGGAGAGGGAATGGTTCCCTGAGAAGCTTAAGCATAAAGAGAAGAGAAAGGTAACACACAAAGCCAAGATGAACAAAAGTGGAGAAGTGGAGAGAAAAGCGACAGGAAAGTGAAGGGTGGGGAGAATGTGCAAACAAGGAGACACAGACCGAGGAGTCCCAGACCAAACGGAGGGAAGGTGGGGCACAAGAGTGTTGCGCTAGTGGGGAGGCGAGCAGGGCAGACACGTTGCCCAGCCTGCGGCTTTGATAGCCAAGGCCCATGGGACAGCCACTCCTCATCCACACCCACAGAGAGAGGAAAGAGTTGGGGTGATTTTCTTTCTCCTGTTTCCACACTCCTCAAGCCCTAAACCTCCTAACTTGGCTCTCCTCCCTTTCTAATCACTCTCTCCACTTACCTGTCGGTAGCCACAGCTAAACTCCCTTGCGGCCACCTCCCTTTCTCTTGCTTCCCCAAATTCCCAGGACTTGCGTTCTCAACCCATTATCTCTTCAACCCTGCTTCTTGAACTCCACTCCCACTGTCCCATTGCCTTCCACCCCACCAATTCTCCCCCACTGACCTCCTCCCACTCCCAGGCCTCCCACCCAACCCCTCTTCTTTGAAACCTCCCCCACCACACATATGCACACATGTGCTCTCCCTGACACGCCTCACCTAAGATCTTCTTAGTAGGGCCACAGGTCCTGATGTTTCCCTCTGTCCCTCCCAAACCCAACTGGGCTCCCGCTGCCCCCTCTCTCCTGTCTTAACATCAGCTTGTCCCCCTAAACTCACCCCAAGTCAATCTTCTCAACACCAGGGAACCCTCCCTTTTCTCTACCTTCCAGTCCTTAGGCTGCTAGAAACTTGCAGTTTTACAAACTTTTCAGGGTTGAGCTTAGCATTCTCATTACACCACACAGGTCAATGGTCTTCGCCTCCAGAACCAGCTGCCTCTTTCCCCTCCCTCCCGCCCAGCACACACACTAAAAAACTGCACAGGGAGGAGGGGGGAAGCGTCTAGAAGAGAAGGGATTGTGGAGTTAAGGCTGGAGCTGGGGAAAGGTGAGAGTTGCCTTCCAGGAATTTGGACAGTGGCCTTGGAGGGAGAAGGTGTTCTTACCTTCACGAACAATTCGACCTGCGGCTGTTCTTCAGCCATGGTTGCGACAAGGACCAGGAAGCGGCGAGCGCTGGGGGAGCTGGGAGGGGCCGGGTAAGGCGGGTCTCACAGCCCAAGATTCTCTCCCCCAGACCTAGTTCTGTCCCTTCAGCTCAACGCAAGCCCAATCAGACCTGTTGACTCCTGACACGACCTCCCCACCAGCCTGGCGTAGCCTACACCTAGCTGTTCCAGCTCTACCCCCACTCAGGATGGATCAGAGAGCCGCTGACTCATAGACCGGCCCCGCCCTGAACCTGGGGAGGGGACAGCAGGGGGGCGGGACTCAATGATCTAGGGAGTGGGACCGAAGGGGATATCCTCTGGTCTCCTAGAGGATCAGGGATGGGAGTGTCATGGGGAAAAAGTGCTGGGAACCTCCTTGTTTCTCTGCCACTCTCCTAAACCATAGGAGTCTTTTCCTGCCTCAGTTTCCCTGCTTCATTAATTAGAGGACACTCCCACTCCGCCTAACAAGAGAAACTTGACACCAATAGCTTTGGCAAGCCGGTGAGAGTCTGGAGAAGGAATTTAAGAACAGAAAGGTGGTTGTTTATTTCTTTTTCACCATTCCTTTTGGACTCTGATTCAACTTCTGGGTTGCTAGGTCTGTGGTCCAGGAGAGGGGCTTGGAAGTGCAAGCTGAGATTGGGGAACGAACACGAGTGGTGAAAGGGCAGAAGATGGGAAAGGAGACAACCAGGCCTTGTGCTGGAAGAAACAGGAAGCTGAGCCAAGGGGGATGTCCACTCCTGCTCAGTAGCCTGGTCAGCTTTAATGCCTACACTTCTGCCCCCGTTGGGGCCCCTTCCTGTGCCCCTTGTCCTTTTCTCACTGTCAGTTGCGTTGAAGATGGCGTGAAAGGGTGGGGTTTTTGTGGCCCCAGGATAGAGACGCACTGAGCCTAGAGGGTGGTGGTAGCTGGTCTTATCTTGGGGATTTGAGGGGAAGCAAAGATCAGGACAGTATAAGTAGAGTTCCTTGGGACACAAATAAGTAGGAAGAAAGGAGGAAGAGTAGATTGATTTAGGAAGTTCTATGAAACTCTTTATGATCTGATGAAAAATAGCCCAAGAATATGTCCTCCAAACTGGACATATTCTAGCCTCTACATCTATATCTCATATCCAACCTTCCCTTCTGTTTTTTCCACACCACCCTCTATCTAACCAAAGATCTACAGTTACAGAAAAACGTGGTAGAGTGAAAAGATATGGAAAAATAGGCCTTGAAACTTAAAGATGGAGAGACTTGGGGGAGGAGTAGGGTGGAGTAAGCGAAGAGCTGCTGGAAACTAGGAGTTGGTGGCTTCCTCTTGTGCTTCCTCTTCTGTGGGTTTTCTCCTCCCTGGGAGCTCCTTAGAGGCCTCTCTCTCACCTCTCCAGAGAGGGGGTTTGCTCCCTTGAATTATAACATTTTATATGGATGCAGAATTATTCTATAGGTATGTGTGTGTTGGGGGTGAACCTCCTCAATGGGTGATCCTCAAAATCTACACATGGTACTCTTCAACTGAGGAAAGGAGGTCAAAGTAGCCCTACTTCCCTGGGTCCTCTTCTCTGGTCAATGTTCACCAGAGAGTCTGCCCCACAAAGATCTCCCTTTTGGGAGAAGCGTCAGACAAATGGGGCTAGCCTTGAGCTCAAACAGCACTGGCAGCTTTTCCCAGGCCTCTCTTTCCTCTCCTACAGCTTTACAGTTAAGAGCTGCCTTGATCATCAATATTGACTTTGGCTGGCTGACATGGCTACCGGCAAGGTTATTTTGCCTTAATTTCCCGGATGACAGGTAATGCTGCCCTTTTCTGGTAGGCAGAAACCCCCTTGGATTTGCAACCAGATGCACCCCCAAATCCTGCATCAGAGAAGCTCCTTCCCATCTCATCTCCTTGCCCTTGCTTTTCTCCTATCTCAATATCTCCCTTTCCTTCCCAGGGCAGGAAGACTTCTCTTTCCACTCCCTCCTCTTCCTAGGCTTGGTAAACCAGTCTCTAATCTCTTCCCACCCCAGATTGGAAGGTGTGTCCCTCCCTGACACTCAGAGCTCCCACCAGGCCTCCCCCAGGTTTCCATAGCTCCATTACTCAACAATTTGCTAGGGGTAACCATTAACCTAGCCCTTAACTCTCACCCTCACCTTTCTTGCTAGAGAGGATTTTCCAATCATTGTTTAGCAGAGCCATGTTACCCTACCACTTTTCCTAATATCTTGGATGAATCTCCCATCCAAGGCACCTAGAACAAAGCTGTGGAGGAAGATGTATTTTAAGGGATATGTTTTTTATTTCTGTCTTCCCCACAACCTCCTTGCTTCTCCTCCCCTCACACACACATTCAAAAAAGTAAGCTTCATGGAGCCTGGATTTAAGTTCATTACTTTGAGTCCACCACCTGGACTAAAATAGGCATTAAATAGTTGCTGAATGAATGAATGACACCCCTCTATCCTTAAGGATAAGGGGGACCAAAATTAAATATTAGGTCTAATAGTGCCTTTGTGGGGGTGGACATACCCTGCACCCAGGAAACAGGCACAGGACGGTTGAGATAGGAATCTTGTTTCTTGTTTCTGCTTATCTCTTTAAAATACGTAGCTCTTACCATGTTTGCCAGGCACTGTTCTAAGCTCCTTATTAAATATTAACTCAGAAGGTACAAATATTAACTTGGAGTTGTTGGCACAGGTTGAATTAATGTTGCTTATCTCCACTCTCCGAAAAAAAAAACAAAAAAACGAGTCTCTGGCCCTTTAAGGTAGGCCTCTTGCCCAGATAGCCCGCGGCCTGTTCCAGGGGCCCTGGCGCCAGCTCCGTTTTCGATCTTCTCACAGGCTCCACCCGTGTCAATCAAGGCTCAGAAAGCTTAAAGGGCCGGAGGCCCGGGAGCCCAGCAACAGCAGAGGGCGGGAAGTTTGAACGTTCTGGCACCGCCCCGTATGTGAATAGGCCAATCAGCTCCCAGCCTTCTCTGTGCCTGCTGTTCCCTGCTCCCTCTCACTCGGTTGGGCCTCTAGGGTAGATCTGGGTCTCCCCGACCAATAACGGCTAAGAGGGCAGGCACGCATGCGCCCCGCCCCGGCGCAGTCGCACCTCTCCTGCAAGGCTTTTGGCTGTTAGTGACGCGGTGTTGCACACGTCGCGACCCAAGTGACTGAAAACGCGGAAAAATACCGGAAGTTGTCCGCAACTGGGGTAAGGAAGGCAAAAGCGTGGGCTGCGGTAGTGGGGGCATGGCTGACAGGGGCGGAGAGGAGACGTGTCCAACTCGCCTCACGGGCCCTTCAGACCGGCTCCAAAGTACAATTTACGCGTGACAAAAATGAGGGTGGGCGAGTGGGGGTTTCCAGTCTGTACTTTAATAAATTACCTGAGAAGTCACCCCTCAAAAATGGCCCACAAAAGTTGAAAGCAAAATGTTACTCCAGCTCTCCGCGGCCCTGCGCCTCAGCCCTCTCACAGAAGTTCTCAGTGGATTTTCGCACCACCCTTTGACAGCCCCTGCGGGTGAACTCTCGCGCCTGAATCGCCTTCATTTTCTACATCCGCAGGGTCTTCCAGGCTATGGCCTCCTTAGGAGCCACCCCTGGCAGGGCGCCGCAGGCTACAGGCCTTGGAGAGGCCATGGCCAGCTTTCCCAGCCCAGCCCCGGTGCGGGGACCTGAGGAGGCAGCAGAGGAGCAGGACGAGGAGGAGCCGGCGGAGGTCTGGCGGACGGCGACGTCAGGAGCTTGAATTGGAAGCGCAGGGGGACGTTGATTGGAACATCAGACTGTTAGAATAAAAAGGGGCTGGGAAAAGCTGGGCAAGTCACTTACCGCAGCCCAGCGTCTGTTTCACATTTACTGAATGGGGATGAGGATGCCCATCCCAGAGATTTGATAAAATGACTAAAATAAGGCATAGCACAGCCCTGCAGTTATGAGTGGCTCAAATATCGGTTTCCTTCTTTCCTCTTGGGACAGATCCATCTGTGTGTGCTGTGGAGTTCAGGATACTTGGGCATTGCCTACTATGACACTAGTGACTCCACCATCCACTTTATGCCAGATGCCCCAGACCACGAGAGCCTCAAGCTTCTCCAGAGAGGTGGGGGCAGAACCATGAATTACTCTACTCTGAGACTGGAAGTATAGTTTACTGTATGTCCTCACCTGACTCAATCTATTTTAATTTACTCCCAGAGGCTCCCTTTTGTTTTTTGGAATTCATTTCATTATTCAACAGATATTTATTAGGTGTTTGCATTGTATCAGGTGCTGGAGACAGAATCCTGAGCAAATCAGTCCTGTCTATCCTTCAGAGGTTTAAACCAGTTTAGTAACAGCCTCCAGGGCACTCCTTGCCTCTCCCGTCACCCTGCCAGTCTTCCTACTCTTTCCTCAATCTCATGCCTGACTCCTACCTATGCTCCCAATGTGCAGAGCTTCCCCAACTCTTAGAGGAGGAAATAAGTTTTTTGGGAGGGGAATGGGGGGAGCACAAAGGGAGAACTATGGGTTCCCTCTTAGCCAAAGTATAAAGATCCCTTAACTCATTTGATCTCCATTCTCCTTACAAGTTCTGGATGAAATCAATCCCCAGTCTGTTGTTACCAGTGCCAAACAGGATGAGAGCATGACTCAGTTTCTGGGGAAGCTTGGTAAGGACTGGGTAAACGACAAAGGGAAAACGGGGAAGGATTAAAGTGTGAAATGTCCCAGGAGACTCACGTCCCAGGCTTTGGAGGGAGCTTTAGCAGGAGGCCAGAATTAGGTGAGAGGAAAGGGGACAGAGACAGGACTGAGGTGTACAGACTGATGGTCCTTTCTTTGCCTTCCCACAGCCTCCCAGGAGCACAGAGAGCCTAAGAGACCTGAAATTATATTTTTGCCAAGTGTGGATTTTGGTACTTCCTTTTGCTTTGCCTAATTCACCAGCCCAGTTTCTCAACCCTTTCTCCTAACTCCACCCACCTCCCCTCAGCCTTATCTCATCCTAAAATTTTGTGTTCTCCAAACCCCATGACCAGTCTCCTCAAGATCTTGCCTGCTACCTACCCTTTAATAACCTGTAGCCTATTGTGAAGCCTCCTCTTAGTTATAGGTATGTGTGTGTTGGGGGTGAACCTCCTCAATGGGTGATCCTCAAAATCTACACATGGTACTCTTCAACTGAGGAAAGGAGGTCAAAGTAGCCCTACTTCCCTGGGTCCTCTTCTCTGGTCAATGTTCACCAGAGAGTCTG